TTTTATCATTCAGGTAAGTCAATATAAAAGGAAAGAACATCTGCTGCATTTACAGTTCAGAATTCTCGAGTCACATCTATTACTTGCTTAATTCTTACTATAGGCAGGGTTACACACTGTATTACACAATGGATGAAATGACATCCTGTTGTATTTCATTCCAGAACACTGAAGTGTCTGAAGTCTCCAAACAAACCAGAATACCTGTGAGGAAATCTCTCAAATTCCCTCTAGTTTGTCTTCACTTCAGGCATATATAAATCTTAACTCTTCCCAAAGTCTTCGCTGTCTACTTGTCTTCCTATTACCTTTTGAGTTCTCTTTGTTTCTTTCTTGCTTCCTAGAAAAAAAGTGTGACCCATCTTACACTAAAAAAAAAAGCTACACTATAATTTAAAGGCCTATCACTCACCACCTTCAATGGCACCACCACCTGTTCTAAATGCCTGGGTGTTTGCCAGCATACTCGGCATTGCACACATACAAGGCATCCAGATACTATAGTGTGAACAGGCTATAAATAACAGACCAAAATTCTCCCTTTCTCTTTCAACCAAGAGTACAAGATAATTAAAATTCACCTGTGTAGACACACTCTCTATATATTCAACAATAGAAAAGAACAACCCTTCTCTACAACCACTGTCTGTTAGAACTAGAATCTGAATCAAGGTTATTTGGACAAGTAAGGTTAGAAACATTAATACATAAGAAGGATAAATGTAAGAAGCATGAGGAAAAAAACCCCATTCCTCACCTGAAAAACCAATCACAGGTTACTGATAAATCACAAACAGTAGTAACTCATTTTGATTTTTGTCAGTTCCACAAATATTAAACATACTGAAAAAAATACTTGTGCAATACATACACAGAACAAAAGCTTTATCAAACACCTAACTAAAAAGAAAGCACTAAGAAGCAGTAGTACTGTGCAATAATGATGAAATTAAAGATCTACATATACTTCTTAAGTTAACTGAACACTTGCTCTTTACTTCAAGAAATGAATACTGCTGATAAGTGAAGGTATGGAAGCTACCATACTCACAATTAAAGCTAAGTTCTAAAAGTTAATGTGCTCAGAAGAACAGCAGAAAACTCAATCGAGTAATTTTAAACAACTGTCTCATAAAACTGCAGCTCTAGCAACACAAAGCTACAAAAAGCCAAAAGTATTAATACTACAAAACAGCAGAAGCTGCATTCGTATTTAAGAAGGGACATAAAGAATCATACTGGAAATCACAATCTTGTTTGATTGATTTTTCAGTGCTTTGTCAAAGCAAGCTCTAAAGGAGACAAAGCAAATGGACATAGAATAAAAATACATTACTTTACATGAGTTAAAATTATGTAAGATGGACACAAGTCTTTCTCAGAAGAAAGACCCTACACAAGGGTACTCTCTTTGCAATTAGTATGCCTGCTCATGGGTCCAAAAGCACCTGAGAAAGAAAAAGGGCTGTATGATCACAGGGTGACCATGACCCAACAAAGGGGTGTGTAGGGAGTGAGAGAAAAATAGACTGGGGTTTAATGCAATAGTTTTACGGACTCATTAAGAATTTTCATTCAGAATAATATTAACCGAAACCAAACTATTGCAAAAAAGCTGCTACTATGAGTAAAAGAGTCTAATATGAAAGGGAAAAAGCAAAGACTGAGAAAAGCATATAATTACAATGTGCCAAAAGATTACAGTGCTTACCATTATGTTGAAGGCAAAGTTATTCCAGCTGATGAAGAGTGTTTCCATTTTAAAGAAACTGCTTGTCTCTAATCATGGCCCACTTCAGAAACCCTTGGCACAAAGTTTCTGCGCTGAGTGGACAAGCTCATGTCAGCTTTTTCAGGAAAAAATATACCTTCAATGCAGTATATTTGCCATTTTAAAATCTGAGAAATACAATTTCTTATAAGTTCATGGTGGTTTTTTTAGTAATAGAATTACAATTCCTTAGAGGGAGTTGAAATCTCTCAGTTTGTTGGTGCTATGAAGCTATAGAGGAACAGGAAGTGACCAGTTAAGACAATCAAAAAGCCATTATGCAGTTTGCAAGAGTCTGCAAGTGCCTGATGAATCCATAAAATGTAATGGGTGCCTGGTTAGTGCTGGCAAACTTAAAGCAAAGCAACACAGTAAATGTACCAAGGTATCCTACAGCCCTGTAGAACTATGAGACACCTACAGATCCACCAAGCTATCTTTGCTGACTTCCTCAGTCTTTGCCAATTACCAAAATTCCTAGACAACATCATGCAGTGATGTAGCTTCAAGTGGTGGCACTTATTTTATGAAGTATGAGTTCTCCACCAGTCAGTTGCCAACAGCTGCACAAAATAAAACATTACATAGAGGATATTATTATCAGTGACATGAAGAATCTGCAAAGCTCTCATAATAGTCATTCACCAAAGGATCTCTCAGGGAACAATGTAAATCATATGTAGGCTTCAGAGAAGCAGTGTAACACAGCTGGACTTTTCTAGAATCAGTGCTACCATACATGCTGAAGATACAAGAACAAACTAAGAATTCAAATGCAATTCTAAAACATAAGGAAACGACAATACTATAATCAGCACCACAAAAAATTATGAAAATGCATAATAAAAAATAAACCACAAGATTCTTCCAGAAGTGTTTATTCTAAAATGAAACCACCATCATTTTTACACTGTCAACTTTTTCAAAATGAGTATCCTTTCTGCCATTTTGCAAAAGAATGAATTGTTGCTCATTAAAAACCAAAACAAAACACTGCTACTATATTGAGGCTCCATATTTTTTAATGAAACAAATAGAAAGCTCCATGGTAACAACCCAAATTCTGTAACAAGCTGCAACTATTTAAAATATTTTTCCATTACCAATTTAATACACTCCTACACTCTTTTCTACTAGTGATACAGCTACAGCACAACAAAGAAAAGCTACCGAAGCAAGAGGAAGAGATTGTCCTGGTACCCCTTAGATGAAACAGCAGTTGGAGAAAACTCTTATCAGTTGACATCATTTCTGCTGTGGCAGACTGGTAGGCTTAGAAACACTTGTTCTCACTTGGCCCTTTGATAGGCACCCCTTCACCTCTTCTGTAGAAGCAGGTCTAACTCTGCTAGCCTAACTCAAGAAAATGTGAACTTTATCATCTTCACAAGCAGACAAGCACTATTTACATAAACTCTATTTATTTACATAAAATTTTTGAAGGACGTGTAATAATCACAGAATGTCCATTACCTACATTTACATGTTACCTAGTTTCCAGATACTACAATAATAAAATTGGATTACTTTCTCAGAAGCAGTTCTAATAATTTTCTGTAACGCTACTGGACTGTACTCATGACTACCACCACACACCTTCACATTAGGATCTTATAAACACAAACAGCAACATAGTATCAAATCCGTTATTTGTTTCTAATCCTCTGCTGACGTTATATACCAGAGGTATTCAATTATATATGATACCGATCTAGGTTTTTTGGATATATGCACTGACAGCTTGTGCACTGCGTGAAAGTCTAGGCCTTAATATGCTCTACAGATCCCCACTACACGGAGTCAAATAGAAACAGCACTTTCTAAAAGTTCACATGTGTTAAAGTACTATGCCATCTTCTGAGACAATGAGACCCTGGGAAAAAAAAACACGACAGACCCCAAATCCTTTTGTGTCAGTTCACAAGAAGTACCGATGTTTAGGGCAACAAACTTACACCTGAGACATTGCACACAACTGTCTTCTATTCACAAGTTCTCAGTTACAGCCAAGAATTCAGTTCAGGTAAAACTGACTTCACAGCAACGTAAACATCTCCAAACCCAAGTAACAGGAAACAACAGTAAAGCATGTCATGTACGTCAAACAATTTCGTACTGCTAAAGCACCTTTCATCTATTCTTACATTATCACTAAGCAATTATATTAACCAAGGAAGCAGATGTATATTAAGAAGATAACTGTTTCTGGGCCCCAATATATTTAATTACCTCGCTTTACAATCAAGACACAATGAATGTTTAAAGAACGAACAAGCACTGATTTAATCTTAGAGGAAATTTGTAATAAGCTCCCCCCCCACATCTCCATAGATATTATATGCTAACATCGATACTTTAAAGGGATAAAAATGATCCTAGATCTTCCTCATTTCAAGCCAAAAATGTACGTCTCTCTAAAATGAGTGACCGAGTAGATCATAAAAATTCAACGCAGTACCGCTTCATCTACAAAATGTTTTTATTATCAGTGAAATACATAACACTGTCCTTCAAAGCGTCACGCTAGGATTCAAGCTGGTAATCACTTAAACACATGGAGCAGAACACAGTTCAGAGCTGTTTTCGGGCTCCTTCCAAAGTCACGAATGTGCCCATCTCTCTTATCATCATCAACAGCCTCTTTACAATTATAGCAACAAGGTATATTAAGAATAAAGAAACGTGCTCCGAAACAAATAAATCCCAAATGCCTAAGCATTAGCAAGCGTGACCGACTTCTACCGCAGCCCGCCGCAGCGGGGGCACGCCCTGCTGCTCTGGGAACAGCGAAGCGGTGGTAACGTGCTCCGAGGAACTGCGAGAGAGAAAGGCACCGAAATAAACACAGCAGGGATTTCAGCACATCTTTCTTTCTCCCTCTCTGCCTCATTCTGCCGTTTCCACTCAGCCCCGAGGATCGCAAGGCATCTCCCCGCGGGCCAGGAGGAAGGATCGCTCCCCCCGGAAGGGCTCGGACCGGGCCCGGCTTCCTCCGGCCCGCCCGCAACAGGTCTGATCGCGGCCACACGGAAGGGGCGCACACCACCGCCCCAAGCCATCGCTTCCCTTTCAGCTCACCGGTCTGACCAGGCAGTTCCGGCTGAGCCGCTCCTCTAAACCCGAAGAACTGGGTTCCCACACCGCTTCGCCGCTCGGGTTTCTGTGTCTGGGACACCCTTCCTGCCCCTAGCCCTCGCCCGCTCCTTGCCTGGGCCCCAGAAAGCCTTACCTGCGGGCCAGCCTGCCGCAGCACCGGGACGCCTCAGTACGGAGGGGGAATTTTTCACTCTGCCCTCCACCGCTTCCACGGGTGCGGGGGGCTCGTGGGTCCGGGAATCGGCTCAGGCTCCTTCCTTCCCTCACTCCCCACGCCCAGAGACCGGACCACGGTGCCCGCCAGACACGGACCTTCCAGCTGCTACCTCGCTTCACCCTCTCCACCACCCCCTCCCGCCCTTTCCCCGTGAGGGGCTGCAGGAACCGGAGCTGTTGGCACAGACAAGCCGCACCGCTCCAGGCCGCCCCCCTCTTCCCCGCCCCGCGCTCTTGCCTCCTCCCCTTCAGAGCCTGGCGCTTACAGCCACACCGAGAACTCGGGTGAGAGACTGCGGTGAATTTCAAACCACCCGCAGGGCCCTGCGGAAGGAGGAAGGGGCCGGCGCTGAGGGGAGGGAGGGGAGCAAGGGAGGCACCGCGACCACGCCAGCAGTGGCACCCGGGCACTGCCCGGCCCCGCGCCCAGGCCGGCAGGCTGACTGCGCAGGCGCTGCCGACGGAGGGGCGAGAGGGCGTTGCGGCCGCATGCGCAGAGCCGTGGGCGGCCGCGGGGGCGCTGGTGGGCCGGGTAGCGGCCGGTGCGCGAGGCCCGTGAGGACCGCGAGCGCCGGGGCTGCGCCTTGAGGCGGCCCCTCAGTGCGGGGGGGTCGTGGCGGTGCTCCGGGGGAGCTTCTCTTTGGCTCAGCAGGCAGGGGAGGGAGGGGGGTCGTGCCCTGTAGTGCGCCCGCTCTCCGCTTCGGCTGCCCCTTATCATCGGGCAGGCCGGCTGACTCACTGCTGTGGTGGGGAGAGGTAGGTCTGAGACCTTCTGCTTTGTGCTTCGTTCTCGGTTTCAGACAGGCTTTCTTTCTATCGAGTAGCCTTGCCCAGGGAAGGGCCGTGCGGGAGCTCCGGGAGCCGCGGCCGCCGCCGCAGAGCCGCAGCGCGACCCACCGGTGGGTGTCACCGCGGGCGGTGCCGCTGCGTGCCCATTGCCCGCAGGGCACAGGGCACACACGGCACACCGGCGCTTCGCAAGGCTTACGTGGGTGGGTGCCAGGCAGGGGTCATGGGTAAAAATCCAATGCAAACATTTGCGGCTTATCTTCTACTGGCCCAAACACGACCGGACTTCTGTACTGTCAAAACTGGAATATATGCAACCGTCACAGTCCCTAAGGATAATATACAGAAAAGAAAGAAATAACTATACCGTTACATATATTCCAATTTATACACAAAAAAACCAACTAACAGTCGTGAAACTTGCTGAGATTCTGCTATGAGATACACTTGGGATCAGATCTGTAGTAGTTTGCTTTTCAACACCTCTGTCATTAAGTGCAGAGTGCCTCTAAGAGTGTAGAGATGATTAGAGAAGATGGCATTTTGTATGTTAGAAATCGCACGGGAATGAAGAAGTACTGTTAAAATGACAAGATAAGACTCAAACCCATGCACCAGAGTCCTTGACAGAGTTCAAATGTCTTACTAAAATAAGCCCAAGTGGATGTACATAAAGTAAAGAAAAAGGGACATGCGAGTGAATTAAATCTATTAAAGTAAATGTAAAACAACTTTATTGTGTTTCATCATTTTTTTATAATTTTCCATGTGAGAAACCCTACACTGTCTCTGTCTTTTTCTTCAGCTCATCATACAGCATAGCCTCGCCATGCTTATTTTTAACATCACGATTTCTGTAGTTAAAGATGATCTCGCTGGAGGGAGATGAAGTAGAAAGTTTCTCATGGACCATCTGTAGAAAACACCAACAAAAATTACCAGTTTAAAATCTTCATTTTTATTTGATGTTTATTCTTGCAGAAGGGCTCACTTACTGATTGTCTGGGCTTTTTGGAGAATCTTCATTAAAAACAGCTTGGGTCATTTTCGTTTGGCCCAGCTAGTGGGAGTAGTCTTTTGTTCACTCTTGAGTAGAGGGTTTGCATAGAATCTTCTGAAATGTGGGATGTCTCAGGTCTGCAGGGGATGATTCTCTGTTAATGTATATAAAGAGCAATTTTTTTTTCAATCATGTACATTTTTCTATGATGAAGTGTTGATATTTTTATACCATTAGTCTTTTAATATCACAGATTTCACATTTTTCTGTAATGATACAGCAAAATGTCTCCTTTAGAGCAGACATGCGTTTTTGTCACTTGAAAGAACAGTTGTTTACTTGACTGAAAAGCAGTGCGCAGTTAGAACAGGCAGTGGTACAGGATGTCACAGTAGCAATTCTGAGTTCAGACACATTAATGAGTAACTAAACAGTCAGGTTATATGCAGTTTCATTATAAACCTTCATTTAGAAGCCAGAAAATGAAAGTTATGTTTGAACTTTTGCTATGAAATGACTGCAGTTACAAAATATACAATAATTTATGAATACTCCTTGATCAAATTATTAGTGAAGCTACTATAAACTTGCTCTAATAATAATCAGTTTCTGCTTAAAATAAGTAAATGAATAAAGGAGGTATCACTGGATGTGCCTTTGAATATTTTTTCTCTTCACTCGTCTTCTTATACAGTAGGTTAGTATAGATCCCTTGCCATATGTAATTGAACTTGCTGCTTTACTCTCTCCTTTCCCTTTTCTCTGAAAATCTCTCTCTAAAACTGTTTTGCTCAGTTGAGGCAATCCATGGGTGAAATCTTATTTTTTTATAGAGTGATTGTCACCTAAGAAAGTATATCTAGGATGAATCTGTACGTCAGTTATATGGAATACTTTCAACAATGTCAACTTCCTGCAATAAATTTTATACAGTTGTAAAGAGATTTTGTCACTGTAACAGCTTCTATGAGAGAAAAAATGTGTTTTCTCTGCAATGTTTGCTATTTGGGCCGTTCTGAATATCTTTGGGTTGTTTTATCCCACTCTTTAACATTTCTAATCTTCCCATGAATCTTTTGTTTAGTGAGTATTGCACCTTCTGGTTAAGAATGTAAAACTGATGGCACACATGTAAGATTATAGTGTAACTTAATCCCTAATGTCATTCCATATATTTTCTGTTATGTAGCCTCCCTATTCTCTCTCTCCCTCTCACCCCTGCCACCCTCCCTTTTTGGAAAGAATAACTTCCATCTATTAGTTTAAACGCTAGTTTGGTTTACTAATGGAGACTGATTGGTTTAGGAGCATTTTAAGAAGTTCTAACCACATCCATTGACTTCTCTCTTCATTTTGTGCTCTTACTTTCCAGTTGTTTATCTCCCCTCAGGTCAGATACCATCATTCAGCAATTCATTTGGCACAATTGAACATACTTTTTTTCCCCAGCTCTGTCTCTTTTGGAGATTCTCACTGTTGTTAGTAATTGCTTGTTACCCCCTCCCCACAAAAAGGAGTCTTATAGTACTCACTTGTGACAAGTGGAAAATCAGCTTTGTGTGCCTATATGGTAAAATAAGTGCAAACCGCTTTTGTAATGTAGGGAGCAAGTTTTCCTTGATTTTTTGTTTTGCTTTTCAAAACAGTTATTGGATGTGCTTATAGGAGCTTCTGCAGGCCCTTTTAGTCCTGTCCTCCCCCACCTTTTCTTAAGAGTTTAATTTCTGCTAAAGGTACATTTCTGTCATCAGATACACAGACACATATATTAATGTTTTCAATTCCAGCATTTATATGTGTTTTAAAATTTCAAGAGGAAAAGAAGCAAAAAAGATGCATTGCCTTCCTTGGATGATCTTTTGTATGTGATCTTCTCTGCACCAGTTTTTTAACTCTGAAATTATAAGAACTCAGAATGTATCTACAAAATATAAGGTCTGGGGAACTATAACAATCAGATAGTTTACATCCTAAGTTAAGTATAAAAGTTAGATAAACAGAGACTGGGCAGTTTAAAATTAAATTACTAGACTAGTAGAATATATTTTTAGTTACAGGAAAGGTAAATAGAGCAAAAGAAGCAGTAATTCTGTGGCACAGTCAAAAGATATCTAAAATTACGCAGTACCAGTTCTGTTGAAGTACTTGTCATTATTCAAAGAAATGTTGCTTTTCAGTCACGTTCAAAGCAATAAGTAAAGGGTTGCATGACTTAACTTTAAATGAAGGGAAACAATTTAAGACTTTAAAGAAAATATTTGAAATAGTTATTAAGCACAATGCATGCAGACTGTATGCTGAACATAATCAGGAAATTCTTTATTTAAATCTTTCGTAGAATTCATTGGAGTACTATTATCAGGCTTTCTATGTAAGGTTTTTGCATATAGATAATGTTTACCATGTAGTGGAGATAAAACAAGCATTCAAAATCTCTGTCTGCTTGGTGTGGGGATATGCACATTTCTCAGCTGTTCTTGTAGGGGTTAATGTAGACTAGAAAATTTCTGATATTGCTAGGTAGCTGCAGAATCAGTGAGATTTAGTTTTTCCCTTTACCTGATTTATTTTAGCACTGCAGAAATCTGTAGGGCACAGTAGGAATTATGTCTATACATATGCATTTTGATGGGGATTGGTGCTATCCAGCAGCAGAATTGCATGAGTTGTTTTGGTTCAGATCCATTGCATCCTCAGCAGGGAAAAGGTTAGACTGACTGTTGAATAGCTTTGGGAAGAGCTAACTGAAAAATTTGCATTCCAATGTTTTCCCCAAAATGTAGACATCCAGGTAAATGCAATCTTTTGTGGAAAACTTCTGTTTTAACACAGGTTAGGTAATTGACCAAACACTTGAAAACAGAATGCTCCCCACTTTCTAGATTTTTATTTTCACTGTTTTAGTAATTTTCTGGTTGGTTGGTTGGTTTGGTTTTGTGTTTGCCTTTTTTTAAAGTCTTTCAGAAATAAGCACTAGAATAATTTGGTTTATGTTTAGAGTGTGTTTATAGGAAGATTCTTTTTTTTAATTGCTATGGATTAGTATTCTTGTTAATATAGCAAAATTTTAAGCACTGGAGTGCTCTGAACAGTGTCCCAATATCAGCTTGTTAGTAAGAATTAAGGGGAAGATGTGTTATTTCAATCAATCCCAGGTAGATGTAGATAAATTATGAAATATCTTAACAAGGTTTGTGGACTAGGAGTTTGTGAGAAACCTTCTTATTTGTAAAGAAAAAGTGAAACTATATTCTGGAAAAAATTAATTTAAAAATTAAAGTTTTACTTTGAAAGTGTTTATGTAAGACATAGCAATATATTTAATTTTCTTATAGGACTTTATTATTCCATTGTAATAACAACTAGAGATCCAAGTATCATCATCCTTCCAGACCTGACAGATGTAATTCTAAATGTCTTTATGTTCTGTTCTATAAATATAGAAGTATTGATAAATTCCTATGCTAAGATCCTTCTGGAAAACTCAGTCTGAAGCCATGATCTATTCTTCATGTGCTATATATCCCCAAGAAGGATTTTGTAAATGTTAGTTGATTTTACTGAGGATATACCAGCCACATAGAGGAAAATCACCTCACTCTTACACAGTTTTGCTGAGTTTGCAAAACTAACAAGCAGTGTCTGTGTTAAGTGCGAGTAAGTGTGAATCTTTTAGTATGTACTCACTTTTTTTCCTTGTCACTTTTCTGACGCCTGTTATATTTTTTTAATGTAGAAATGTCGTTAGAATGTAAAGTTTAAATGTGTCTTTTTAATATTTAGATTTTTATAACATACTAAAATATAATGGGGATTTATCACAAATTTTCTATGTCTGATGTCCCTACAACCCAAATTATCTTCACTTACTACAGTGTTACCACTACGAATGCAGAGGTTAAGAAATTCTTAATAACTAAGACATATCTACTATGATTTTATCTTCTTTAGAAAATATGATAAAAATTAAAATGCTCTTAAAGTCTTCATATAGCAAAAGTAGCTTTCACTATTTTCTCCAGCAACAAAGTTGACTCTCTGTCTAATATGTTTTAAAAATAACCAAATGGAATAACTGAAATCCAGAGAGAGGTGCTTCTTTTCCATCAGTATTGAGACTATGCTGCTGCTCGCAGCTTCAGTGCCCTTCTCTGTTGGTATATGTTGGACATTAATTTGCATCATGATTTGAAGGTGAAGGTGGATTTTTCCTTTATACAAGTACTGTTAAAGTGGAGAAGCATAAGGAAAGTTAAATTCTAAATTTCAGGCTCTGAACTATACTCTCTAGATTGTCCAATATGTATATTGCTCACAGAAGCCAGTCTGTGGTACAAGGTACCCTTGTACCTTCTTTGTAGGCTTAATCACCATCACTTCTGGTCCAGTTATTTTACAGCGCCTGAGCAGTCACTCCCTCTTCAGTCAATGGCAGCTATGGATGCTCAGCACTCCTGAGAGAAACAGCCCATTCCAATTAAGCAGACTGGGTTTAATAATACTATTTGCTGAATTGAAAATCAGAAGGCTGGGAATTAAGTAATATTTTCCTGTAAGGTACATGCACCTGAGATCTAGGGCAAAACCGGCTTTACCAGGTCATGTTAGAGCAGATAATACCTCAAATGCTTGAAATTTTAGGTCTATCATGCTGTACAAGTGTTTGTTGGGGTTTTTTTGTGTTTTTTTTTTAAAAGGTGAGTCTCTATTCTGAACATTTTAGAGAAATGCAGTGCTAACGGAATTCAAACACTAGGTATCAATAAGGGAGAAGAAAAATGTGAAAAGTTCACAGAAATGTTCATAATGATTAATTTAAAATAAATACAGTTTAAACCATGTTCTACTTGCCCATAAAGCTTAACCTGATGAATTTTGTTTTTAATTTAATAATTTACTTTATATAGAATTTTAATACAGCATATCCCTCTTTAGTCTTTCTTATGGCAATATGCAGATCTTCTCTTCAACTAGAGAATGAAGCTACCAGGAGACTCCAGATGTCTGATTGTAACATTCAAACTGGCCAAAGTAAAAAGTGAATATATAATATGAAAAGTGAATATATAATATGAAAAGTGAATATATAATATGAAAATACTTAAAACAAATTAATTTAACTAAATTAAATTGATAGTATTCTTTTAAATGTAC